CGCGCATTTCACTTCTTAAATAACTAATGCAACGTATCATTGTCAACACTTACATTTGTGCATTGCTCCCGCCATGGTTTTGAAATGATTCCAGCGGTGTGTCACGCCTATTTTATACCCAACGTTCCCGGAAATGCATCCGCGAAGGAGCCGCGAAGGACCGTGGAGGACCCATGAGTGTATCCTCGGTTATAGCTCCTCCAGAGAGCCTCCTCGACGTTCGATCCTCGGTCCTCGAAGTGCATTTAGAGAACTGAGATGTCCTTCAACATGGCGCGCTGAAATTCATTTCCGGGTCACTACCGGAGGACAGGAGTCGAGGAGTCGAGGAGGGGGATTTGACGAAATGAGAAAAGGCCTTAAGGGTTAACACCTTGTCGTGTCACCATCAAAGCGTTCCGGGTTCATGGACAGGACAGTTGTTAGCTTAACTTGAATGTTCTTTCCGTGTAATATTAAATATATATAAGCTTGTTTTAATGGCTCTGTTCATGGAGTAGTCGACTGTCTAAGGTAACGTGTTCCTGTCAGTATTCTGTGTTTGGTGTTATTTAAGGTGATGCTCTCTGTTTACGCTGAAGGCTTCGCTGTCAACTCACATTCTTCTGGTTCTGCCAATAAGACTCGTTAGCTCACTGTTTTAGCTTAGCTCATATAAGGTTTCTAGGTTATTAAATGTATTGCTTTGACTGTATCCGTCTACTTCTTATAGCTACAGCGTAACGTTAACATTGTTCCCTGCAGTAAAGCTATGCTCCAATAAATAGCTAGCATGTTATTCAGTGCTACAAATAAGTCTGGTGCTCGTGACTACAGGGCTATAGAAAAAGTGTCACTGTATTTTTACAGTTATCATTGTACAGCTTTTTTAAGTCAGTTAATCCATTAGTTGATTGATAGAGTATTTGTCACCAACAGTACAATTTGCTAAACAACAACTATGACTTTTCTCTGATGCAGTTTCTCTAGTGAAACTGCTCATTTCCAGGTGTATATCAGTATGTGTAGTGTCTCTACTGGGACATGTCTCCATGCTTTAATGTTCAAAAAGCTCTTTATTTTTGTCATACTGCCTGTGCTGCAGCACCTCTTTTCACCCTCTGTCTGAAACCAGAGCCCAGTCTGCTCTGATTGGTTAGCTGGCCGGCTCTGTTGTGATGTGTAAACCGCTTACCGTCCAGCCCCTCAGCCTATTACGTACAATGTGTTGGAGCACTAGCCAATAGAAGTGCGAGTGATGTCATTATGTTACGAAAGTAAACAAAGTCTAGCATTAAAGCTTTCTTCCATGAAATAATATGCAATTGATTCATTGCTGGTGCTCGTTACTACATTGCCATTGACATCCCGATATTTACCTGATGAAAATCAGTATAACAGGTAAGACAATTACAATATTGCAACATTTAAGCTAATGGATTAACGAGTGGTGTTTTCCTCCTTTAGTTCACCCGTGTGTACGCAGATGTTCTCCACACAGTGTGTTCCGTCCCTGTGAGGCTCTTCTCAGCTGTTTGAAGCGTCTGTCAGCAGGATGTCCCGCAGCGGGAACGAGTCCTGTCTGAGGGGAGCAGAGGACACCGTCTCCTTCTTGGTAAGATCCCTGTCCTTTTTTTCCATTTAATTTCAAACCTTTATTTAACCAGGTAGGTCCCATTGAGATCATTGATCTCTTTTTCAAGGGATACCTGCCAATATTTGCATAATGATTGCTGTTCATTCTTTTACACACACAGGTAATGCATACATGCACATGTACATTTACATTGGAGTAATGCAAAGGTGATAGAGTTAGCAGTCAGCGCTCCAAAAATGCTCTCATCAAATTATTAAAGGAATTGGTTGATTACTCTACCAAAACCTAATGATTATTTGATCGTATCAGGGGTTTGACTACTGTTTACTAACGTGCCAGTTGTAGCTCAGTTTTGTTCAATTGAATTGTTATTTATTGCAGTGCTGTTGGAAACATGTTGACATGTTGGAGCAAATAAAACTAGAGGAAAACATCTTTTAAATAAAAATAATGCAACTAGTACAAAGGATACACATATACTGGGCCTATTTTCACTGTCAGTTGCAGTTGGTTCAAAACACTACATCAGGTTGGGAGGAAGAAATAGAAAAGGTGACATTGTATGTGTTTAGTTATACAGGTGTAATACAAATTTATTTTTAAAGTAACAAATACATTTTATTTAATAAGTCAGTTAATCAATTAGCTGATTGACATAGAATTATTCACCAACTGTTTTGTAAATCTAATACAATTTGCAAAAAAACAACACTGACTGCTCCCCGTTGCAGCCTCTCTAGCGTGAGGATTTGCTTCTTTGCGTTTACTGTCTGACGGAAAACTGAATCCGGGCATTTAAAGACTCTCTTGGAAATAATTCTGGGCATGTTACACTATCTTTGACATTCTATTCTAACTAAAAGATTGAGATACAAATCGTCAGAGTTATTGATCTCTGCTTACAAGGTAGGATGCATATTGAATCCTTGTCCCTAAATCAACATCTCTATTCTGCTCATTTTCATTTTCAGGTTCATATTAGTATTTTATTTCTCTACTGTGTAATAATATATAATAATAATATTAACAATAATAACAATAACATTGACAAAGTGCTTCACAAGAAAAAAGTAAAAAAATAAGACCGCAGAAACATGAAGACAATAAAAATGTGTGCCAGAAGTTAAGGTTAACATAAAAATAAAACACAGGAATGTAAGAGTCCCAAAAGGAACAAACAAAGGAATCTTACTTCACATCACACACATCTCAAGGAGACACAAAGGCCAATTTAAAAAGATGGCTCTTCAGTTGTTTTTAAAAGCTGAGACTGCAGACCGAATGTCTGTAGGGGGAGAGTTCCATACTGTTGGAGCCACTACTTCAAAGGCTTTAGTTCTCAACCGAGAGCGAGGGGCAGCCAGTAGGCCCCGGACGGAAGACCTAACATGCTTTAATGTTCAAAAAGGTATTTATTTTTCTCATATTGCCTGTGCTGCAGCACAAGTGTTTTTCAGGATCTAGTTATTTGGTCTGTGTGTGCTGTTCCACAGGTGTGTGTGTTCCATCAGTGGGAGGAGTGGGCGGGCCTCGGTCAGTTGGAGGACTATCTGAGTGTTTTGGAGTACCTGCTGTGGGTCTTCACCCCTCTGATCATCGTCTTCATCCTGCCCTTCCTCATCGTCATCCTCCTTTACCTCTCCATACTCTTCCTTCATGTCTACAAGGTACGCAAACACAGTTTCCATCATGTTCTTTTGCATTATGTCAACAGTAAATTACACTTCATGTCATCACTCACAAATGATTCCAAATGTCATCTATTTATATAAAATAGTAAGTGCCGAAATGGGAAGTGTCAGTGTTTGGAGGGAATTTCATCCCCTTCATCAGTCTACCCTAGAATAGATTATTTATTATCAACACTAAGGAAAGTTAAATGGTGGAAGGGAGTGAGAGTGGGGTGGTGGATATATCAGACCATAGTCAAATCACAATGTATCTAAACAAAATATTTCAACTCTAACTATTGATAATATACTCTTAAAGGTGGAGTAGTTAATTTTGGAGAAACCAGCTCGAGTGCGCTAGAATTTGAAAATACACAGCCGGAACAAATCTGCCACTTCCTTGCAGAGCTCCTCCTCCAACACACACGAACGTGCATATGACCAACGAGGGCACGAGATAAGTCTATGTACAGATGGAAGGCTGACAGGCAGGTAGGCCATCCAGTTACTTTAGCCGGGCCGGCTCAGATGATTGGTCGTGCTTTTTACAGCGCCACGGCTTCCACTGATGATGATTTATTGTCAAAGCANCATTTCAAAACCATGGCGGGAGCAATGCACAAATGTAAGTGTTGACAATGATACGTTGCATTAGTTATTTAAGAAGTGAAATGCGCGCATTTCACTTCTTAAATAACTAATGCAACGTATCATTGTCAACACTTACATTTGTGCATTGCTCCCGCCATGGTTTTGAAATG